TCTCTACTCCTAGGCATACCAGCTAAGGAAACAGATATAAATGGAAAGATGAATGAAAAAGAAAAGGGAAGCAATTTAAGTGACAATCACGTGGGTGCTCCTTAATTATATCCAGACAACACGGAGTATCATACAGGTGTTTAGAAAGATGATGTGGATCTTTGTTGTCGTGGAAAGAAGCTCATAGCAAAGTGAAAAGGGCAGGATACAGATTAATACTTTTAAAATTATGTAGTCATATGCCTATATAAGACTAAAGTCTGGAATGACATACAACAAAGTGTGTGTGCGTTGAGAGAGAGATTTGATAACACATTATTATCATCTATGAATGTCAGATTGAAAATTGATTATTAGATTTTAGCAAGAAGAATGGTATAAAGGACCCCTTCCTTTTTAAAATTTAAGTATCCTTGAAGGTCGTGGGGTTGAGCAGGTGGGGGAGCGAGAGGAGCGGAGATGAGGCTGCTCCGGAGAACCGCTGTGGCAAGGAGCCTGATGCAGGGGGCGGTGACAGTTCTTGTCCCCTTTACAGCCTGTGTAGGATTAGTCTGACTCTAAAAGTAACAGCAATGATACACTTGCCCAAATATATAGGAGTTAAATTGCTGAATTCTACTCTGGATAAATACAAGGAATGTTATTAGCTTTGTTAAAAAATTAAGGCAAAGTCTGTTTTAACTGAGATATACCTAAACTGTAACACCTACTTTACTATAGATGAAGTATTTTAAATGTTAATATATGCCTTTCAGCATTATATATACTATATATTTAGTTCACTGACAAAAGTTTATTTTCTATTGAATAATCTGCTTACATTTTTTGAAACAACTGCCATAATAACATATAAATATTCCCCCAACAGGTATCTCCTCTCTAGTTGTGGCTATATAAAATAAAATTGGGAATTGTATTATTCTCCCTCCTTTTCACCTGCATATGAAATGCTTATCTAACTACACATCTCATGGGGGCACTAAGCTAATTACAAAAGTCTGTTTAAATCTATCCACCTATCGTTTGTTTTGCTACCTACCTGGGCCTTTTCCAAGCAGGCAGAACATCTCCAATCAGTCTGTTACCACAACTAGGATGCAGGAGATTAGTGACTATGGAGAGGGGCACAATCCGTTTACATCCTTACAGGCTGGAGAAGGATATTACTGCACAAGCAAGAAACGTGAGGCTCCCTGACCTTAATTTAGAAAACCTGCAGTTAATAATCACACTAAAGTTGGTTTTACATGCCAGACAGTTTTTGTTTCCTGTTTTTACAATTTGAGTGTCCTTTGTAGTTACCAAAATTATTTGCTAAAAGGCATATATTAACATTTAAAATATTTCATCTATAATAAAGTAAGTCTTACAGTTTAGGTATATGTGAGTTAAAATATACTTTGCATTGATTTTTTTCCCCAAAGCTAATAACAAATTCTTTGTATTTATCCAGAGTAGTATTTAGCAATTTAACTAGTGAATTATGACAGTTAATACACTGAAAACTCCTTTCTTAATTGAGGAACAAAATGGGTTTTTCACTGTAATCTGTCAACCCAAATAAAGAACATATAGATTCCACAACGGCACACTCTCACCCCTCCCAAAAAGGTCAATTGTTTTTCAAAGGAAAAGAGAACTCAGCCTGAAGCTACACATTTAGCAAGGAAAACGGGTCAAAGAACAGATGTGCAGAGCTGGGGTGGACTGGTACAGGTGATCCGGTCAGTATGCAGAGGTTCCAGTGACAGCAAACTCAACTTGGTTTCTTTTTCATAGAGGAACACTTAATGAAAACAAATCTAATTAACACCATACGCCAAAAAAGAAGTATAAGTGATCTTCTAAAGTGTGGTTAGCTTTCACTTAACATTCTACTAAAGGACCTGTATTAGCCAAACCCATCTTAACTGTTTCAATGTAACTCACTGTGTGTTCGGTAAAATGAGTTTTGTCTTCAGACACTTGTTCTCTTTTAGAGAGAGAGTGCTTTACAGTTTGTGTTTGTGTGTATGTTACTGAAATGTAGTTACTGAAATGAAATGTACAGTCTAGCTATGGAGATGATGCTCACAGAATGAAAATACAGTGCGAGTCTATATATGTATATACTGATATAGAAGAAAAGTTACAGTGGCACTTTTGGTGCCCAAAATTTTCGGTTTACTAAGTATTTCCAAGGTACTTTTGGTATTATGAAAATAGAGCTAATACTTGGAGGGGGAAAAAAAAAATCTCAAAAAGTCATGTTTGGGGGCTTCCCTGGTGGCGCAGTGGTTGAGAGTCTGCCTGCCGATGCAGGGGACACGGGTTTGTGCCCCGGTCCGGGAAGATCCCGCATGCCGCGGAGCGGCTGGGCCCGTGAGCCATGGCCGCGGAGCCTGCGCGTCCGGAGCCTGTGCTCCGCAACGGGAGAGGCCACAAGAGTGATAGGCCCGTGTACCGCAAAAAAAAAAAAAAAAAGTCATGCTTGCTACTTCCATGATAAAAGGAAAAAATATCTATTACATGGAATCAGTCTCCCTTGGGTAAGTCTAGAAGAAGAAGAAAAAACTATGGAATGAATTTGCAAAAGTGTGAAAAGATGCCTTTACCTACACCAAGGCTGCACTAAGACTGCTCTTGTAAGTTACGTCGATTTTCTAGATCTATGATACTAAACAGCCATCCCAAGGCTCTGTTGGTTACATCACGTATATTAGCATTTAAACTTTCATCTCTCTCCTCTTAAAAATATAGATTAAAAATTTAACCAGATTTTTTTTTTTTTTTTTCCCGGTACGCGGGCCTCTCACTGTTGCGGCCTCTCCCGTTGCGGAGCCCAGGCTCCGGACGCGCAGGCTCAGCGGCCATGGCTCACGGGCCCAGCCGCTCCACGGCACGCGGGATCCTCCCGGACCGGGGCACGAACCCGCGTCTCCTGCATCGGCAGGCGGACTCTCAACTACTGCGCCACCAGGGAAGCCCCTAACCAGATTTTAATGACAACAACAAAGTAAAATATTGCTCTATTCAATTTCTTATCTGCCTTTGGCATTAATAACTGTAAGGTCTCATAGAAATATTATTTAAAAAGTTAAAGGCAGTGTTGGGACTTCCCTGGTGATGCAGTAGTTAATCTGCCTGCCAACGCAGGGGACACGGGTTCGAGCCCCGGTCCGGGAAGATCTCACATGCTGCGGAGCAACTGAGGCCGTGCACCACAACTACTGAAGCCTGCGCACCTGGAGCCCGTGCTCTGCAACAAGAGAAGCCACCGCAATGAGAAGCCTGCACACCGCAACAAAGAGTACCCCCGCTCGCTGCAAACTAGAGAAAGCCTGCATGCAGCAACGAATACTCAATGCAGCCATAAATAAATAAATAAAAGTTAAAGGCAGTGCTATCTTCAGTGGAGACACTGCTATCTTCAACGGAGACACTAAGTTAGTGAACTATTCTCTCTCATCAACCAACTGAACTAAAAGTTTTGAGGCCCTTTTAAACCAATGCCTGTTTTGTAACTTTCTAAAAAGTATTTCAGTCATTTTTGTTAATCATTATATTAACAGTAATTAGAGGATCATAGTACTTAAAACATCAGTAACCATGGAACATCTTTAACCTGGTCAGCTATTTACTGATAAGGCATTATTAACTTATCTTTTACAAACAACCTTACAACAAGATAAAATGCACATCCCAGTAACATTCTTAGCAGAGGAAAAGGTATCCTTATGGTTTTCCTCCAGTAACCTAAAATAACTGGTCTCATCATGAAATAGCAAAAAAAAAAGTTACAAGATACAAGGGCTAACTTTCCACATGATCAGACTAACTCTTAAGTCGAAATCATGTAAAACATCTTACAAAAATTTTTGTCTTTAAAATGTGATTTTAAAAAGTCCTACCATATGGTAGTAAAAACATTCCTATATAATTTAAAATTCTCAAAGCAGCTCCTATCTGAAACAGAAAGAAAACAAAACCCAAGAAAAAAAATTGACAGTAATACGTATTGTTTGTTTCTAAATTAAAAGGTTATTTTTTTGGTAGTTGTGCTTATTAATCATTTTGCAGGGTTTTTAAATTGTTCATTATCAAAAAAGACCCAAAGTATACTAATACAATTGAAGAGAACATAAAAAATCTGAATCTTTGCTTTCAGTATCCTTAGATATTTTAGAGCTATAGGATTTATTTTAAAGTAAATTCGGTAAAGAATATTTACTATCATTTATGAAAATAAGGATCATATTGATGAAAATAAAGACCTCCATTTCAAGTAAACATTTACTGAATATTTAGTACATATCAGGTGCTCTATTAGGTGCTTTTATAAGATTCTCTGCCCTATATTTCTAAAGTGTTAAATCGAAAACTTTCCCGGTAAACACTGTCTTTTAAATGGTAGGTATTACTAGTCACATATAATCATATAAAATTTAAATATACATTGTTTATAGTATATATATAAATCTGTAGTTATACACTTTTAATGTATATTATATATAATTAGAAAGCTATATGCATAGAACAATTTTTTGGTTAAACAACTTGTCAAAATGAATGGTAGGTATCATCCTTGAAATAAAAACATTATAGGAATATTGCTCATTTAATTAATGCAAACCACCTGTCAACTACCTATAGCAATCTGTACTTCAGTGTTAAAAAGATCCAGCTGAAATGTAACTTCTCTAATTCTGATCAGAGAACTATTTTTTTCCCACAGCTAAAGGGGTCACTCGAAACAAAAACTAGCATTGTTTTTCTGTGATTAGGTTACAGTAGCTTAAGTCTCTAAACACCAGAATGCCTCACACAGCTGTTAATTGTAGACCAGGGGACTAGCTGACATCTGCTTCTTGCTTATTTTGTTAACGGTTCACTTCCAGGTCCTTAAAAAGATTGTAGGCTTTCTCCAAAGATAATGTTGGATGCATCTATGTCTGCCTTCTACATAGTTGGCTTATTCTGGTTTGTCACTCTCCATACAATGCAAATCTGAGTGAACTCACATCTGTCACCGATCGACCCAATTCGTGGGCAATCTTTTCCCATCGACCTGGGGTTCCTCCTGGGAACTTAACCATACTTCTTGTCAGCTGGCTGAGGTCCTCTTCTGTCCATTCCGGTGCCTGCAAAACATTAAAGAAAAAAAATAATTCAGAGAGTGTTTGCCAAAACATTTAATAAACCTGTGAAACCAAGTATTGGCATTATGCTTTCTGCAAAAATAACAATGTCAAAATGTATCTACTAGTTTAGGTGAAGGTCTGAGTTGCATATTTAACATTAGAATGCAAAGTTCCCGCAGCCTTTTAAATACTCCAACGTACACCAAATAATAAAGAAATACTGTGAACCCAGGCTCTTAAAGACATTAAAAAAAGAAAGACAGTTGTTTTGAAGTGCACTGTGTCACTAATGCTCACAAATGCCTCATGTGAGCTTACCACAGAAGGTCTCGAAGTTTTTAAGAAAAATGATTAAAAAAGCAAAAAACTTTATAAGTGTAAATGAAAATGTGAACAAGTAAATGGACTGATTCAGAATCAGAACCGAGACAAAGATGTATTTTTTGTTCATTCTACGTAACGATATTTAATTCTAAAAAGCATGTATTTTCAAGAAGTTAATTTATTAAGTGCTAGCATTTTGTAAAACTTGAGAACAGAAATTAGAAACTCCTGCAGCCAAGACTTAAACCACCCGTTCCATGCAAAGCAACACTTCCTTTTTGAGAAGGTAAATAGCTTCTAAAAGTTGATCAAATTATTAAATTGAATAATAAAATACCTTAAAGATTATAAAAATCTTTTTCTGCAAAAGCCAAAATTCTCAGAGCAAGCATATTCTCTGCATTTTATTCAGCATTACCACTTGGTGAAACCCAAAGTTGAGCAAAGCAAAAGAAACCATCATCAAATAACAATTATTTTACATTACAGCACTAAACTATTTCCTACCAGAGGCAGTAGCCACAATGGTACAACACAAGACTCTAGGAGTCAGCAGAGAGATGGAGGAAGCCACCTTATTTTCCTTTAATTAGAAAGAAAGAAAAAAAGAAAAAAGGAAGGAAACCTCTGAGACAAATACCTTTTCTAATCACTGTTTCCGATAATGAACAGGCATACATCAGGCCGTATGCATTACAGGACCATCAGCACAGACAACAGCCAGAGGTGAGTGACCCCAGGGACTATCTCCACAGCTACAGCAAAGCTTCTCCCTGACACTAATCCTCCCTGTCATTCTCCCACTGTGCTCTAACCACACTGACATCCGCCTGCCTCACTGCAAGCTTAAGGGGGCCCTTCCTGACTTTTTACTGTCTCCCCCAATCAATGGTTCAAGCGTGCTCTTTTCACCATGTCCAAATGGCAGCTTCACTCATAATCAAAGTGCACTGCCCCTGTTAAAGGGCTTTCCGAAAGGCTCTCCCATTTGCATTCATTTGCAAAGCAAACTACTTTTATTCACTTTGTTCTGCTATCAAGAATGTTCCCTGAAGCAGATAAATTGGCATAAATACAACCTGCCACTTAAGAGTCAGTAAATAATAGCCAATAGTAGGGAGGATTTTATCAATCATTCTATTTTGTATCCACTAAAAGCTGAAAGCCTCAAACATATTCATCAGTACAACCCTTACGAAACATGCATAAATTCCCTTCTATAAAAAGGTAGCCTACACTGAGTATGGTCGGAATTTCCTTGATGTTTAATGAATATCAGAAATCTAATTCTCCATATCAGATAATTAAAAAATTTACACTGAAGGTTTTTTACTTTTTGCTTGTTTGTTTTTACTTAGGGGAAAAAGCATTATTCAGATATTATTTAGACGGACATAAGTGGATTTTCTAGGAAATCACTTTTGCTAAAAAGCTGAAACTTGAATAACTATACCAATTGGCTTCAAAATGCAAAAGTTACGAAGCATTTAAATATAAGCTTATAGTACAAGGTCATACATAAACAGCATTAAGCTGACGCTGCACAGAGATAGAGTATTCCAACCATATAGTATATCAGTGCAATTTCACACTCAATCAGATCTTATTTCTGCATTAATTATAACACATTTTTGTAGCAAACAAAATTGTCTAAAATGTCAATAATATAAGCCATTCTTTCACAGAGTAAACTAATTCTTTAATCTATTTTTAATAGATTGGCCTTCCAAATATGCTGCATATATCAACAATGGGCATTAAGAATCAATCTAATTTAATTCCTTGTGAATGAGTCTAAAAGGATAGTGTCACTTTTTTCTGGAAAGGAAAAGATTTAAATCAAATATTTGGATGAATATCCTGAAAAATCATCTACTTCCTTGAAAATCCTTTTAGTTTCACTGTTATTTTACAGCCATGATTTTATTATTAATATTAAAAAACTAGATCAATAATAACTGGGACCATAATCTGAAATCTTTGAAAGAATCCTTTTAGCAGTTCATTATTCTCTCTCTTCCAGCTGTACGGCACTTTGGTGAATGTGTACTTCCTCAGCAATAGTTGGTTGTGTCTTTAGAAGCAACAGAGCCTACTGTGATCCAGCTAATGCAGCAGCCATGAGGGTGGCCTTGGTGTGAATGTATTCTCCTTGCTCTAATCTGGAGCCAACTGTAGCTCTGAAAGTCAAATGAATGCATACGCATACCGCTTTGCCACTTAAAACCACGTGTGTCCAATATTACTGAGACACTGGGCCAAAAATTCATCTCTACTGTAAAGTAATGGAAGACACCCCATGGGGTGGGGACAGCTGTTGTGACTACACAAGCATTCCAATTTTGCATCAGAAAAGCCCCGCTCTGGGAATAAATCTCCATACTGAATAAAAAATAAAAAGTTTTCAAATTATTTAATACATTTATGTAATGACCCCAAAATATATCTGCTAAAGTAAGAGCTGATATAACATTTAAATTGTATTCTCTCTACCCCTTTGGGATAGATTTTTGTCATAAAACTAGCTAATGTTCAAAGATTCAGTGCCTTTGAAAATCCTTAATATTCTTGGGGGATAGGAGTTGGAGGCTGTAGGGGAAAGCACACTGTACCTTTAAAGTAACCTATACATACCTTTCCCCTCACAGAGTTAGACGGTAAAATGTTAATTACAAACTGTCATGCAATTTATTTGGTACTGAAAACTTATGACCCAATTAAAAGGAAAAATTTAAATGTACTTATTTACTGCATTTTCATACTTTGTTGAAACTGCCTAATAAAGAATATTTCTGTTGAAATGACTTATTAATGATCCTTATTTATGTAATTACAGACCTTACAATTTTGGATTCAACAATTTTTAATAGATTCAGCTCAATTCATGAATTCTCAAATTTTACCTAAGAAATAATATCCTTACTTAGCATCACCCAGTTAAAATATCACATATGCATCTAATAATGTGGATGGTATATCTAATGATCGAATAATCTGCTACCCTCTAATTCTACATTCTGTACTGACATTTTGTTTTAGAACATGCATTTGGCTTTCAGCTATACAATTTTCATTTCCAATTTGAAAATTGAGCAGTTAACTGACCTTGACTATATATGTGGATAAATGGTATATTAAAAAACGCAAACAACAAAATTAAAAACAAATCACCTCGGGGCTTCCCTGGTGGTGCAGTGGTTGAGAGTCTGCCTGCCGATGCAGGGGACACGGGTTCGTGCCCCGGTCCGGGAAGATCCCACATGCCGCGGAGCGGCTGGGCCTGTGAGCCATGGCCGCTGAGCCTGCGCGTCCGGAGCCTGTGCTCCGCAACGGGAGAGGCCACAACAGTTAGAGGCCCACATACCGAAAACAAACAAACAAACAAACAAAAACAAATCACCTCTAATGTCTTTTCACTCTTAGGAGGAGAAACTCTTCTTTGAAGAAAACTTGCAACTCATCCTAAGCTATTATTATAGTGTTGTGATCCTTTAGCAGCAGTCGTCGTAACCAGAAAGGTCTTCCCATCTACGATTTAGCTACCTTGCCAAAAGAGGGATCCCCTCTGGACCAGTGATCCTAAAATGTGGTCTGGCGCCAACCAGCAAACGACTTTGTTACCCACCTGTGACAAAGCTCAGACACAGCAGTTGACCGCTGCCACCACAACCAAGAGCAATCAGCAGGCTCTTCCTTTAGAGACTATAAACCAGTTGGGTTAGTTGTCAAACTAGCATGGTGCGTCACATGAAGTGCGAGCTGCAATCTCGTTCGGCGAAACAGGACTACAGCTTGGTCAGCAGTAGCCGGAAATAATTTTTAAAACCTGGTCGTTCACTATAGATAATTTGAGAAGCACTGCTCAAGACAATGCAGATAGTTCAAATTCCTTCTTACCTCCTTTTTTTTTTTAGGAGCAACAGTAAATACTTGGAGCTCTTGAGAAATGGACACAAAGATGTTTGATCCATTCCTTTCCAAAATATTTTATGCCACTAAGTGTTGGGGGGGACTTGGCATGTAGTAGAAGATTACACCAGGTACAGGGAACAGCAAATTGCAGAGGCCTGAAGTGGGAGCACATCTAGGATGTTTAAGGAACAGCAAGATGACCAGGGTGGCCAGAGCAAAGCAAGCCAAGGTGGCAGGGGGAGGAGGTGAGGTCAGAGGGGCAAGGAGGTAAAATCACAGAAGGGCTCAGAGGCCATCACAAGGACTCTGACTCATTTACTCTGCCTGACACCAAGCTACTGGAGAGGTTTTTTTCCCTTCAGTTGGTGGAGAGCTTATTTACAAAAGGGGCTATTTACAAAGGTGTGAGTGGAGGGGAGCCACAAGAGCTAGTGCACTGACAGTCCTGACCGCTCAAACCTGCAAGAGAAGACGCCTAGAGTCAGCCTGCTTACGAAGTGAGAGTGAAATCAGGTGCAGGGCAGCAACTGGCCTGAGATGACCACATCCAGAGCCACAGCTAATTAGGTTTGTGATAATTTACTGCACAGGCCCCAGAGTTGATAAGGAATAATATCAGGGTGCGATAAGAATCTCTGAAGTCTTTAATGACAGTACTCATCTCTGCCTTTTTTATTCCTTTACTCTCCTGTGGGGATTCAGAAAGGAGTAATGATAAATAAATGTGATCAAGGGGATATATTTACCCAGAAGAATATGATTTT